GCCAGGGCTTGTGAAAGGGACTTCCACAGGCACAGAAGGCAGAGGGCATGGTGGCGGCCACGGGGAGCACTCTTGCCTTGGCCCTGACGTTCTGGACCCCATCATTTATTCTAAATAGTGTGTGAGCCCATTGGACGCAGTGGCTTACACCTGTAATCCTAGCACTTTGGGAGGCAAAGGCCAGAGGATTGCCTGAGTCCAGGGGTTTGAAACCAGCTTGGACAACTTGGTGAGACCTTGTCTCTACAATAAATAAAAAAATTAGCTAGGTGTGGTGGCGCACACTTGTGATTCCAGCTACTTGGAAGGCTGAAGTGGAAAGATCACCTGAGCCCAATAGGTCAAGGCTGCAGTGGCTGTGAGCATGCCACTGCCCTCCAGCCTGGGCGATAGAGCGAGACTCTGACTCAAAAAGAAAAAAAAAAAAAAAAATCACATGTGAATCCTCTGAAGGGAGAGTCAGAGTTGGACATAAGCAGTGTTAGCAAATCATTAGAATGATGGAGCCGCAAGGTGTCCATCCTTTTTCGCGGTCACTGATGACGAACACGAAAAAGCAGAATTGAGGCATAGAGGATAGGAGTCAAGTTCAAAATCTAGGGTGGAAGAAAAGTAAAAGTAGTAATAAAAATCATTTTTTAAATGTAAAGGAAATTGAAAGGACATGAATTTTTGCAGGAAATAAGGAATTACAGCTAGAATGCTCACTTTATTGTTAGCAAAAGTGAGATCATTCAGTTAAGGATAGTAGTGCTGTGTTTATTTACAGATGTTAAAAAGACACTTTCTTTGATTGTGCATATATCTAAGTAGACAGGCTATTAGGCAGAATAAAAGAAACTTTGCATTTTATGGAGAGATATTTTCCTGGTTTGTCTTTGACATCTGGGTATGTTCTTTGTTTCACTGGTAAACAAGTGAAGTAATCCTATTCTCTCACAGAGGCAGAGAGGATATGAAATTACTTTCTCTGTTACTATTTAATGATCTTCTAAAAAATGTATAAACCAACCTGTCCTATTTTACAATTACATATATTTGGTTGAGATATTGGAGATTTTGCCAGAATATTGACTTTTTCTACCAAAATATGCCAGAGCCATAATATATCTCGGAATTAATAAATTAGAGAGTTTTGGACTTTATTTCAGGCATGAATTACTGAGATCACTTTTCTAAAGGAGTTTCTGCTGTGGGGCATTCTCACTCCGTGAGTTTCAAGGACAGCCGTATAACCAGTAGGGTTCCAGTCTGCTGTTATTGTTTCTAATGACAATGATATAGAAGGCCCTTTTATGAATATGTCACATTTATGACACCATTCAAGTCTACAGCTGAGTTTTGTTAGGTGCCACTCATTTGGATTGATGGTTCTAACTTAATGTTGTGTGCGTTTAAGTCCAGAAAGTGAATCATTGTGGCAAAGATTTTATTGAAGACACTTCTCTGCTTTATACGGATACAGGCAAACCCTTATCAGCTTCCTAGTTTTCAGTGTTGTGCACAGAGGAGCCAGTTCTGCCTTGTCCCTGATTTCCCTGCCAGCAGCCCACTTATCCTTGTCGACGGCGCTGCCTTCTGTGACTGTTTCCCTCCCCTCCCCTCAGAGAACTCACATGCTGTCATTAGGATTTCCTTGGGTGGAGGCATGTCATTTTTTTAACCAATACTCTGTTGATGGACACTTAATTTGCTTGTGGTTTTTTGTTGCTGTGAATATTCTTTCATATCTATCTTCTTGTATTTGTGTACATATAGTCATAAGATCAATTCCTAGCAGTGAAAATGCTTAATGTATAAATTTTTATATAATTAGAATGCTTACATTAAAAAAATTTAAATAGGGAAAGTATATTTTATATATAAAAATAATTTCCATGGGCAACCCCTTTGGGCCCCTCCCACTGTGGGAGCTTTTCTGTCCTCTCAATAAATCCTGCTCTCTCACTTAAAAAATAAAATAAAATAAAAATAAATAAATAAATATATTTCCCAGTTTTTTCCTAGAATAACTCTTAGAAGTTCATTGGTTTCAGTTTTTAGACAAATAAAGACAACTAGTTGAGGTACCTCATCTGGACTCAGGCAGTCCTCTCACCTCAGCCTCCAAAAGTGCTGGGATTACAGGCTTGAACCACTGCGCCCGGCCTTATTTTTTCCATCATGTCTTTTGGTCTATACAGTTTCAGGTTTCCTTAGAGCCATCTAGCAAAAGAAATGCTTTAATAAAATGAAATTTTTACATATTAATCTTTTGCTGTCTTATTTCTCTTTACACACAGAATATGACAATAACCTCACAAAATCTTAAACAGAAATGCTCTTAATTTTTTCTTTTATGAGATACCTCCTTTTCAAAGTACAGTTCTAAAGGGTAATTTTCGTTTGTGAAAGACAAAATAGGCTTTATTGTGAAATGGTCTATCAAGAATATAAAGTCAGAAATTTAAGGTTCTCATATAACTGATTTTCCTTCCATGTTCTTGACCCTCCGTGTCTCATTGGCTTGGGCTTTGGTGAAGCAAAATGTTCAGGAGAGGTTTACTTGGATTACTTTGCAAAGACCCCTAAAGTAAAGGGAGGGTCACAGTCTGCCTGTGAGCAAGCAGTAGCCATTGGCTAAATCACTCAAATGTTAAAAAAAAAAAGATACCTGGATATAAAACTTGAGAATTGCCTATTAGCACTGACTACATCAGCCTGCTTGTTCTGAACCAGAAGCGTACCTTCAGCCTTTGCAGCTGGCTCTGTTCTTCTTAGTCCAGACTTTTCTTTTGGCTTAATCAGATTTATCTTCCCTTTACAATCCCATTTTAATGTATGGCTCTAAGGAAACTTGAAACTGTACACACCAAAAGACACGATGGAAAAAACGTGGCCGGGAGCAGTGGCTCAAGCCTGTAATCCCAGCACTTTGGGAGGCCGAGGTGAGAGGATTGCCTGAGCCCAGGGGTTCAAGACCAGCCTGGGCAACCGCATCTCTACAATTAAAACAAAAAAACAAAAAGCATTAGCCAGGCGTGGTAATGTGCGCCTATCCAGCTACGTGGAAGGCTGAGGTGGAAGGATCGCCCAGCAGGTCGAGACTGTGGTGGCCGTGAGCGTGCCACTATACTCCAGCCTGGGTGACAAGGTGAGACTCAAAAAAAGAAAAAAAGAAACATGCTTATTGACCTGCTACTAGATACACAAAGTATAATCCTGTTTGAATGGCATTAGGGTAAGTGGTGGTTTCATTTGCATTTCCTATAAAAGCAGTGATTCTGAATCCCAGCTTGGACACTGGAATTACCCGGGGGCCTTAAGAAAATACAGATGACCAGAGCTCACCCCGGAGAGCGGGGATCAGCACTGACAGTTTTAGAAAGCGCTTGCTATGTGCTCTTTTGCTGTATGCCAGCACTCAGGACACTGCTCTGCTAGCATGGCTCAGACTAATTCGAGTAACTTAGCACTGATCCCAAAATTCAAATGTTTGATGAGCTAAGTTAGAGTTTTCCAAAGGGTGATATGTATGCCACTGGTGGTACATGAGGTCATTTTACTCACTTTTAAATTGTAATAATTACATATTTGTTTAATATGTATCAGAAAATAAATGTGAGTATCATATCAAAGTCATAGTTTTATGGATACTGATTTGTGTGAAACTAGATATTTTCTTTTTCTTTCTTTTTTTTTTTTGAGTTGGAGTCTCACTCCATCGCCCAGGCTGGAGTGCAGTGACACGCTCACGGCCACCCCAGCATCGACCTGCTGAGCTCTGGCAATCCTTCCGCCTCAGCCTTCCAAGTGGCCGGATCTATAGGCACGTGCTACCACGTCCAGCTAATTTTTTATTTGTTGTAGAGACGCAGTCTCGCCAAGTTGCCCGGGCTGGTCTTGAACCCGCAGGCTCAGGCAGTCCACTCGCCTTGGCCTCCCAAAGTGCTGGGGTTACAGGCTGAGCCACCGAGCCTAGCCAGATTTTTTCTTTAATGACAAGTTAAAGATGGTGTGGCAGTTTAAAGGAAATCGCCGAATTCTAGAAAGACATTAAGTGACTGGTTAGTACATAGACATGGTAGAAACCACGAAGATGCTGAAAATACACAGGCAGCTTGGTGGGGCACTCCTGAAGCCAAGGGTTGGCTTAGGATTTGAACCCCAAGCATCAGTTTTGTTGTGTTCTCCCAGATAGATTCACACTGACTTAATTCTTCTGGCTTTTTCAATTCAGGGCAGACTTTGGGAATCAGAATTTTCTGCAGATCTTACAGTTTCTTGACACTCAGTTCTCTTGTGGAAATGTGCCTATAGAACAAGATATTTTGCTCCTCTAATTTTCAAGTGTATAGCAGGTCATGTGGTAGTGAGAGAGAGGGAGACAGACATAGGAGAGAGAGAGAGAGAGAGAGAATTAAAACGAAACAGATCAAGAAAAGTGGGTGGGTGGATGGTGGGATGGTACACATTTCCAAGATTGTAAAGTGCTCTTGCTTCTCCCACCTAGATAAAGAGGTCAGCGAAGTCGACATTTTGAAATTCGAGGCCGAGTATTCTAAAGTGTGTCACGTATTTGTAATAGCCTTCTGGATAGAGAACAGTATTGATAGTGACAGGCCCTCACGTTCCCAGGAGCTGCTTATTTTCCCCTAAGTCTCAGGAAGTCCGCAGGTCTGCCACAACTTAGAATAACTTGGGAAATGCTGCTTGAAGTTCTTTCCCTACTAAAGTGGGTTGCCCTGGATTGTTCAGTTAAAATGAGCTCCACGTAAAGATATCTATCCTATATAACTGACCTCTAAGGAAGCTCAGAGAAATTTGAATAGGCCCCTTGCCTCTTGCTACAAATAACTGTCCACTGTTGTATCAAGAATGTATCTATCCTTCAATTAGAGGCAGCTGTCTTGAGCAAGAGTGGCCACATAATCTGCATTTAAATTGTGTTACTGGGAGTGAAGAACGCCTTATGCCGTTGTAATGTCACCCTGCAAATGTCTGTCTTGTATAATCCGTAGGATGGAAGCTTCCTGCCTCGAACTGGCCTTGGAAGGGGAGCGTCTGTGTAAGTCGGGAGACTGTCGTGCTGGCGTGTCATTCTTTGAAGCCGCAGTTCAAGTTGGGACTGAAGACTTGAAAACGCTCAGTGCTATTTACAGCCAGCTGGGCAACGCTTACTTCTATTTGCACGATTATGCCAAAGCATTAGAATACCACCATCATGATTTAACCCTTGCAAGGTAATTCGTTAAGCTTTTTAAGACTCTTCCTCCCAAACTAGCCGTTACTTTAAAAAGGTATTTGTATTCAGTTAAAACTAGCGTAATATATCTAATGAGTTCTAGTTCAGTGGCATCACTTTTTAAAACGGATCTGAACACAGTTAATGAATGAATAGCAATCAAATAACCCCAGAGTTTAATTAAGTGAATGGAAACTAATTGAACTTAAATACAGAAACGTAAGTTGTCAACTTTTACTTAAAGTAGGTTTCAAGGCTAGTGGGGCTTTCTAACCGTAAGCATGTCAGTGTGTCCCCTGGGAAAACTGTTCTCTGGCTACTTTCTATTTCAACACCATTTGATTTTTTTTTTTTCAGGACCATTGGAGACCAGCTGGGGGAAGCCAAAGCCAGTGGTAATCTGGGAAACACCTTAAAAGTTCTTGGGAATTTTGATGAAGCAGTAGTTTGTTGTCAGCGACACCTGGATATTTCCAGAGAGCTCAATGACAAGGTAGTATGGAGGCATTAGATGGTAGGCCAACTGTTTTCATTGAACTGCTTTGTATTTTAATATTTAATTATCCTGTAATTAATCTAAAAATTAATACCAAAAGAGAAGCCAAGCATGGTGGCTCACACCTGTAATCTCAGCACTCTGGAAGGCTGAGGCAGAAGGATCACTTGAGCCCAGGAGTTTGAACCTGGGCAAGATAGTGAGACTTTATCGCTGCCAAAAAATGTGCCTGTAGTGCCAGCAACACAGGAGGCTGAGATGGGAGGATCGCCTGAGCCCAGGAGGTCGAGGCCGCAGTGAACTGTGATTGTGCCACTGCACTCTGGCTTGGGTGACAGACAGAGTGAGACCTGACTCAAAAACAAAACAAAAAACCAAAAAGGAAAATATTCATAGACAAAGACAGGTAAAAGAGAAAACATAATAAAAATTTTCGATAGAGAAAATGACAGAGAGAGTGAGAGGTCCTTCTTTCAAAAGTAACCGTCTGTTTGGTTCCATACGGATGGCCAATGTAAACACTTCTTTCCCTTGACTAGACTATTAAGGCTATTACAAATATGTGATAGACTTTAGAATACCCGGCCTCGAATTTCAAAATGTCGGCTTCACTGACCTCTTTATCTAGGTGGGAGAAGCAAGAGCACTTTACAATCTTGGAAATGTGTTCCATGCCAAAGGGAAAAGTTTTGGCTGCCCAGGTCCCCAGGATGTGGGGGAATTTCCAGAAGAAGTGCGGGATGCTCTGCAGGCGGCCGTGGATTTTTACGAGTGAGTAGGGGCCACGCCCTCGGGCTTGCCTGAGCCGCACTGGTCTACGGTGTGTTCTTTAGTCAGCAGTGAGTTTCAAACATCTTGAAATTAGTGGCTTAGCAAAATAAGCCAGCAGTCCAGTTGCTTGCTCAGTTGTCTGTGTTAGTGGTCTGCAGCTCTCATTTAAACTGCAGACCAGTGCCACTTAGTGGCAGAACCGAAAAATAGCAATGGTTAGTCTAAGTGACTTAGAGTCAATTTAGTCTTTTACTAAGAGAATTTGGTAGAACTTCTCAGCTGTGGAGGTTTCAAGACTAACTCTCTCCCTGACTCTGAGCAGAAACCTACCTGAATGGTTCAATAAAGTGTTGCTAGCTCTTTCTATAATTGCCCTCCATTGTGGATGTATCTTTAAAATACTGCATTATATGGATGGCTCTAAGCATCTTTACACTTTTTTTCAGATTAAAAAGAATTGGAGATTAAAAAGAGCCAAGTGTAGTGGCTCACACCTGTAATCAGCACTTTGGGAGGCAAAGGCAGGAGGATTGCTTGAGCCCAGGAGTTCAAGACCATCCTGGGAAACATAGTGAGACCTTGTCTCTACAAGAAATAAAAAAAATTAGCCAGGCATAGTGGTGCATGTCTGTAGTCCCAGCCACTCAGGAGGCTGAGGCAGGAGGATTGCCTGAACCCAGGAGATAAGGCTGCAGTGAGCTGTGATCATGCCGCTGCACTCCACCCTGGGCAACAGAGTGACTCAAAAAAAAAAAAAAAGAAAAAAGAATTAGATCTGTAGATCAAATAAATAAATAATTTTTTCCAGACATAGCTTTTCATTACTTTTTGTGATCATTCAGGGAAAACCTGTCACTAGTGACTGCTTTGGGTGACCGAGCAGCCCAAGGACGAGCCTTCGGAAATCTTGGAAACACACATTACCTGCTGGGCAACTTCCGGGATGCAGTCATCGCTCATGAGCAGGTGCGGTGAGGGACCCGTCACCAGACAGTTCCCTCCAATTGGTCTCCAGTTGTACTGTAGCTGCATCTCATTTAAATTCTCTGTTTCAGCGTCTCCTGATTGCAAAAGAATTTGGAGATAAAGCAGCTGAGAGAAGAGCCTACAGCAACCTTGGCAATGCATATATATTTCTTGGCGAATTTGAAACTGCCTCTGAATACTACAAGTCAGTGTCCTGCTTCTGCAGATGACTGTGACGTGTATAGTTCTGTAACCCCTGTGCTTTGGGTTTAAAACCTTGTTGCTGCACACTAGCTTCCAAGCCTCAGTTGGGCTTCCAAGCTTCAGTTTCCTCACATGCAATGGAAGATGGCAGCACCTTGCTTTTTGGGTTGTTGTGAGGATGGAATGAGATCACATCTTAAACACTTAGCACAGTACCTGGCACGCGGTGTCCAATCCATGTTATTGTAGCTAAGACTCAATAGCAGCAGTTATGACCCCCTTATATTATCAGCTCTTCTCGTTAAAACTAATTGCTTTCCAGTGAGACTCTAAACTGTTAGTCTTTTAAACCTGTGTAGGATGGGTGGGGTGTATATGCCTTATTTCACCCAATTACGGGCTAGAAAGAAGGTCAGAAGAAGGCCCCGTGGCCACAATACGGGCAGTCTCTGTCAGCGATGCTGAATCTCCCTGCCATCCTGCCCGCCCACCCTCCTATGAGCAGTCCTTCCCCTCCTTCCCACCCTGACACCATGGAGACTGAGGCCCCCCTCACTCCCCTGAGAAGGTGGCGAGTGCGGCTTTGTCTGTGGAGGGTCTCCTAGCCCGTCAGCAAGTTCGAAACACAGATGACGGTGCAGTGTAGATGGCTTCCAGGCCTGGGCTGTGCCCTCTCGATTGGGACTTCCCCAGCAGTGGGGACTGAAGACGCCTGTGGACCTCAGGCAGAGGTCGGCTGGCCTGAACCAAGGACACAGCGATCGATTTGCATTTTATTGTTAAGGAATCTAGTATGTGGGGGGTGCATTCTGGATGGTCTCTCACCTTTTGAAAAGGTGAGATTGTCTTTAGTTTAAAAAATTTTGCTTTAAACATTGATAGTTTCAGTATTTGTCAGTTGGTTAGTCAGATATGAAATATATTTTATCCAAATGTATCACTATGAGAGGATTATGTATTTAGTAATGCAAATATATAAGATATATAAATATAAATAATATTATATTCTGCTGCCTTTAACTCTAGCTTAGAGCCTAACAACCTGTACTTTCTCCATAACTTTTCTACAAAATAAAATATAAAAATATATATAAAAGTTTTACATTTTAGAGCCAGAGGATTTGGAAAAGTTGCAATTATTAAATGGCATACCTATATTAAATACTGAAAGGTTCTATCATTAAGTGGATGGTGGCTATTTGGCAAGAAGCATAAGTCTATAGTAATGAAACTTACTTTTTCTTTTTTTTGAGTTAGAGTCTCACTCTGTCACCCAGGCTGGAGTGCAATGACCCACTCACGGCCACTCACAGCCTTGACTTGCTAGGTTCAGGCTATCCTTCCACCTCAGCTTTCCAAGTAGTTTGAACTACAGGCATGCACCACCATGCTCTGCTAATTTTTTTATTTATTGTAGAGATGAGGTCACACCAAGTTGCCCAGGCTGATCTTGAACCCCTGGGCTCAGGCCATCCTCTCGCCTCCGCCTCCCAAAGTGCTGGGATTACAGGCATGAGCCACCATGCCCTGATGAAACTTACTTTGTCTTTCCCAATAAGCAGGCTAGAGCTCAAAGCTTTATACAGATTCCAAATTATTGGGGGGCCAGTTGCAGTGGTTCATGCCTATAATTTTGGGAGGCTGAGACAGGAGGATCACTTGAGGCCAGGAGTTTGAGATCAGCCTGGACAGAATATTAAAAAAAAAAAAATTAGCCAGGTGTGGTGGTGTGCACATGTAGTCCCAGTTG